GGTATGGCGGTGGAGTACCGTAAGGAACTTGAGACGGCCAATCATCTTATAGCCCCCAACCCTCGTTTTTTCACTGAACTTGCGGCACTGTACGTGGCCGACACCAAACAGTCACGCCTTGATCCCCAGTTGTGTGACTCTTCCGGCCCTACGCTCCCACTGGAGGGACAAAGGTACTATCTCCGCTGAAGCCGAGTCTGAGATTGCCTGGGACACAATGGGTCGGGCCATGCGATCTCTTCCTGCAGGACTACAAAGGTGGTCTACTAAACATTGTGTGGGCATGTGCGGCACAGGCAAATTTAAAGTTCTATGGGGTCTGGAGACATCAGCAGCCTGCCCACGCTGCGGCGACTTCGAGGATCATCTGCATATTCCCCGCTGCCGCGCTGCTTTGGCAACAGCTGAATGGGATCGTCGCACTGCAGCCTTCTCCGCGTGGCTAGACCTGCAACTGACAGGCCCTTCCATCAAAATAGCGATCCTACAGCTTCTTCAGGGCGTCCGCACACCTCCTTCATTTCCCCCAAGGCCCATCTCCTCTTCGGTTCAGCCGGCCTTCTTGGCTCAGCAGGTGATTGGGTCTCAAGGCCTTTTGGAGGGACGCATCGCTTCGTCTTGGCTTCCACTCCAACAACAATATTATGACAAGATAAGATGTCGACGATCTGTCTCTCTTTGGGCGTCCCGCCTCTCACAACAGCTGGTATTGATCGGCTTCTACATGTGGGAGCAACGGAACTCCGTTCAACATTCGGATGATAACGTCCAATTACGTGAACGTCATAGTACTGTCAATGAGGGGATTCACTCACAGTTTGATATGGGTCCCGATGACTTGCCTAAGGAAATTCGACCGATGCTAACATGCCGTCGACGAGTCCTTCGCAAGTCATTGGTAGACAAGGAAGAGTGGCTTAAGTTGCTTTGTCAGGAACGCAGAGATTTCCGTCGCTCCATGAAAGCACAACGCCGCAGTCTGCGGACTATTTTCTCCCCTGTACCCTGACCAACTTTTCGCGGGACCTTACATGCCCCGAATTCACCCCGCCACGTCGCGGGAGAAGTCTTTACCCCTTTGGGAGACTTGAGCAACTTCTGTTCAAAAATACAGATGCCTCACATGGTTCAAACTTGTTGTTGACTCACCGCTTCACAGTACTTGACCTTTACAGCCGAATATTTCACCGGCAATCAAATGCCCATAGAGTAGCATATTAACGATTAATGTCTCAGTTATTATTTTTGCACTTTTTTGTAGGGCTGAGTGGCAGACGGACCGTTGAACGGTAAGCTGCATTCAAAAACTGGTACTGGTACAGTACAGGTACAAGAATCAGCTATACCAATTTTCCCTCCCCCAGGAGAGCTGGTTTATATAAAAAACTAAAAATGTCTTCTGACTACAGAGCAGATGGAGCGCACCGCTTACCGGCGTGCCTTGCTCCCCAACATCGCACTCTTCACCAATTCTTTCACTCTAAACAAGCCCCCTAACCCCATTTCATGGAAGCAACACCCCAAATTGCCTTGCCACGCCACGGGAAGAGCCTCGACCTTCATGGTCTTGACTAGAGCAACTTCTGTTATACAGATGCCGCTCATGGTTCAAACTTGTCGTTGACTCACCGCTCCACAGTACTTAACCTTTTCAGCTGAATTTCCACCGGCAATTGTATGCATTACATAGCATTTAACCAATTAATGTTTTAAGATATTATTATTGTCTGCCATCTATTGAATGTTAGCTTTTACTTTCACTGGGTGTTAGTTGAAACCGAGACCTCGAAAACTCTGCGCCTCATCTGGCGGCGAAAGGCAGTAGTCCGTGGATCTGAGACAGAATGCAATGGATTCAATGGCGTTAGTGATGGACAAATCAATACCATTGTCGCGGACATAAAAGGTTGTCCCAAATTTTCCACTCAAACGAGTCCAGAAGACATTTGGCAAAGCCAACTTCACACCTTCTCCGACGTTGAAATTCAACACGTTTCCTAGAGCAATAAAAGATGTGAAAAACAGAAAGAAAAGAAACCGCATCACAATAAAAATTCTACATACCTCTGTGTCAGGTATCAATACAATGTAAAAGAACAACAATAGGGAAAGCATGAGTTGTCAGATATTCCAGTTGGGTTCAAATTGAAAAATCTACGTACCGCCCACCAAATTGATCAGCAATGAGGACAACATATTTGTCATCCTTCTGTCCCTCCTTGCCCAAGTCCCAATAGTCTCTGATTGCTAACCCTGGAGTCAAGGGGTAGTTTTGGCACAGAACGTAAATCCGGAATCCTGTTTCACGCTCCAGTTGGACCAATAGCTGCTCCATGCGTCGCACTTGACCATTGGTCAAGAACTTTTCGGTCTGTATTACATGCAAATTGTCCTCTGCTGGCAATAAATCTGGTCGATTTACAGATTCGAGTCTTGCAAACGCTGGAGGCGCAACAGCAACACCAGCTGCAAATCCTATAGCTCCTTGTAGTATCTTTCTTCGGCAGTGCTGACCATTCGTAGTCTCACCCGCAAAAGCAGCAGCAAATGCTATACATCCAACAAGTAGAGTACGTCGTAGAACTTTCATCTTTTTTCAATGAATGACAAGGCTAATTCTATGAAGGCGTGTGGGCGAATACCGGTAGGTGTGTTTTCAAAAATGTCACGTCTTCATTCTGGATGTGTCATGATATCGGATCGTCATTATTCCGGTCGAAGGTCGGTCGACCTGCTTTTTTTGAACTGGGCCCGCTGTCCGCTGTTCTTGACAACGACTCAACTCCTGCTTGCTCGTTGCAAATTGCATCTTCGAAATTGAAATTGAAAACTGGCAAAACAATTCAAGATATTCAATGCACCTGTCCAAGAGTAAAAACAACCCGTGGTAAACATCTGCAGAGGTTCCTTTCACCAAATTATGATTGCGAGCCTGCTTCTATGGAGTCGTGCGCCTCTCCTACTATTTGCATATGTTTTGCTTCAAAACGTTTCTGCAGACGAAATTTCAATCGAACCCACCATTCAACCGACAATTTCCACAACATTTGCACCCATTTCATCATCAGGTGCACCATCCAATTTCCCATCAGCTTCAGACGTTCCATCTCCATCTCCTTCGTTGTCCTTCCCCCCCTCTGACTTGCCGTCAGAGTATCCAACTCCGGAGCCAACTTTTGCAAATGAGGTTGTTTCAAGTGCCAGCTTTCGGCAAAGGTTTATTGTTGGCAATGGGAGGAAATTTTTTCCGACCGAACTGGGTTTTATCGAGTCGCTGTATATTGGATCAACGGCGAATTTTGCCACCGATCATCCCGATGTCGAACTTCGAGTTGTATCAAAATGCAATGTGACAGATCAAGTACCAGGTCCAAAGATAAACAGACGGTTTCTGTTGGAGAAAACATCTAGGAATTCGCTGCGAAGAAGCTTGCAGCAAGTCGAGTTTGTCGATGTCGATTTTGAAATGACATACAGCTCGGTTTACATAAATGTGACAGATTACCCCATTTTCTTCCAACAATATATCAACCGCAACAACGATACCATTGTGAGCAAAATGCAGACTCTTGGTCTTAATGTCACACAAGCACAACAAGCACAAAGATTTGTCGTCATTACAACAGAACCTACAGTTGCCCCTGGGCCAATTCCTACAGCCATGCCAACACCGCTGCCTTCACTATCAAGCCCACCAAGCTTGCAACCTTCCTTCAATCCGACAGCCATCCCTAGTGTATTACCCACAGATTTGTCCTCTGCGCCTACCACATCGCCTCAAGCAGAATTAAATCAAGATGGGCCATCAACTGAAACTATTGTAATCGTCGTATCGGTAGTGATCGCTGGCTCGATTGTCTTGGTGGGGTTACTGATCTACTGTCGTAAGAGAACTTTGGATCGCGACCGACAGTTTCGGTCAAATACAGCGCAAAGAAAAGACGGAGTACTACAGCAGCCGCCATACAGTCTTCCAACAGAGGGTCACCTGTCTGGTATTAATAGCAACGACTTTGCTGGAACTCACTCATTGGTAAAAGGAGATGATGAAGTTGATTTGCTGAACGAATCTTTAATATCAGGCCAATCTCTACTGTCGGCTGGCAACTCGATGGACGGCGATTCTCATGACGAAGCTGATCCGACGCATGTTCTTGCAGATGAGTTTGACCAATACAAAGATCCGCACCTAGAACGAATGCGAGCTGATGTCGAAGGCAATCTGACCGGGTTCGATAGCATGATGAGCCAAGCTTTGACTAGAGCCTTAATCGACGACGACGACAATGTTGACCCAAGAGAACTTTTATGGGGCGGCAATGGGAAGCTGACAGGGGCAGAAATCGAAGCGAGTGCACTGGGGGAAGTGACTGACTGGCTGAAGCGAAAGGAGCATGCAACTCTTCAAGAAAAGTGAGTATATATCTTGAGTGTTCACTTTGAATTTCACTTTTATCTCATGTCCTTTTCGCAGACGAGGTTTCATGCAGGAAACGTTGAACAAAATGGTCGCAAGTGTGCGGCAGGGGGTTCTTGGTCCGGACGATGCATCTCGAACAATTCATGAATGTGCTGCACTGCTTGGATTGCAATTGGCTTCTGAGATTCCAGTGACAACTCTTATTGTTACTGGTATGAGGAAAAACGTTTCAGCACGGGATATGATCGACACATTTTGTGAGTTTGGGCAAATATCAGAAGCTGCAGTTGCACCAAACAAGCGTGATTTCGGTGAGTTCAAGAAACTGGGATGTTCTGGGTTTCGCTGTCCTATTCTCACTTTTCTGTTCAGGAATACTGCGTTTCAAGACAAACCAGTCCGTCAAGCGAGCAATGGAAAAACTTCGGGTTGGAGAGATTGTGGTGCAGGATGTAGCTGTGCATGTGAAGGTTCTCCAGTCGGAAGTCTCACTCACGAGTGCAAACTCAAGGGAGCTGATGAATGAAGATCTCGAAGGTTCTACGTTATGATCGAAACGGATTCGTAGCGGGGGAAGACCATTTTACAGAGTTCAAACTAACTATGTAACTATAGGATGCCATGGCGTTGATACGCCGTTTTGCCAGTGATCAGTGAGGTCCTCTATTTTTCTTCCACTGATTATGTCCTTCCTTGTCCTTTCGGTGCTGCTTTTTTGGTCAAGAATCGAAACCTCCAGTGCTTGAGTCCATTGTTTCCCGAAGTCTTTCCCAAAACCTTGCATGCACTCCGCTCCCATGATTTTTTCATTGGATGCCAGCTGTCCGATTTCTTCGTTTTGAAGCACTAGCAAAACCCCATTTTCAGTATTTTTCGGCAACACTGAAGCAACCCTCATTGCGACAGGACCAGACGATCTATCCGATAAGACTTCGGGTGACATGAACCATCCAATAATGATGTTTGAGTTATTGTCGTCAGCAAGCATAGCTTCCACCAGCGCTTCTGCAATATCAACCAACGGTCTTGTTGGTGTCTCATGGCAAATAGGAAACGCATTCTGAACAACAAACCTATCATCGGAGGTTGAACCAACTAGAATTCCATGCACTGCCTTTGTACAATGACTTGCGGCAAACACGATCATAGTGCGGTAGGCCTCTGGAGATACAGTTACACTCATTTTGGCAAAATAGTATTTGAGTACTGATAATGATGATTATGCTTCGGGTGTGAATGAGTGTGAGCTCAGGGAAACCCGGAAGTAATATTTCTTGGCAAGTTCGGGTAGATCTCCTACAGCGCCCCCTTTTCATTTCGGCTTTGCAGTTTCTTTCCCCCAAGTTAAAGAACAATAACGAAAACGGTGAATTAACGCGCTGTTTCAAAAACATGTGAAAAAACGCCGGCCACTCCAGCTTTTTCCCGAAAATCCCACGGCTACTGCTGTAGGAATTGTAGGAATTTTTATCAAACACTTGTGATTCCTTCCCGGCGGGAATACTAATGAGAAACGTAACAGTCAGGTGGCAATGGAACAGAACTTCAAACTGCCTTTCAGAGGGAATCTCGAATCAGAAACGTCGTGTAAAACTTTCCTACAAGTACTTGTGGGAATTCCTACAAGTACTTGTGTGAATTGAACGCAGAAAAAGTACGGAAAGTATACTATTGGGGGGAGAGTCCCACTGCTCCAGTACACATTATCATACTGTAGTTAGTTCAAACGTGGAGAGTTGCTTGCGAGATCTAAGAGGCGGCAGATGACTGAGAGAAACCTCTTATCGCGAGGATTCTAATTTTGAAAGCATCCATGAGATATAGCATTCCCTTGCAACGCAATGCACACCATCAAAGAAGATGCGCAAGAATAACCACACAGTCTACAGTAGTGTTCAGTTGCCAGTCGTCTTTTTTGCCAGACGAGCAAAATATTTTCGCCGAATCTGATAGAAGATAACGGAGAACACTACAGCCGCTCCAAGAAGCGCGATGGCTGATATTGTATGCCCAAAGACAAGAGCCGAAATGCAGATAGAAATCATTTGTCGTGTTGTCATGATGATGGTAAAAACAATTGGTCCAAATTCCTTGATTGTATAGAAGATACAAAGTTGTCCTGAAGCTGAAGTGATTGCAGTGATAAGGTTGTACCGAAAGACTATTGGATTGGCCCTCAGAAATTCCGCCACAATTGGTAAATCCCCAGTGATTATTAACCCAGCAGTAGTGATGCAAATTGCAGATATGTTGACTCCCAACATCATTTGATATGGATCAACGTTGCTGCGACCGTATTGCGTGTATATTTTATCCTAGAGGGCAAATGAAGCATTCAGAACACTTTGCCATTGTTTGCGAGCTGTAAAAGAAGGACTCACCTGCCATTGTGATGTGAAGGAATCGAAGGAGATGTACATCAATAGGAACATTAATCCAATTAGCTCAGTAGTCGTGTCGTTATTTGAGCTTTTCGACGCGAATGAGAATACTGCCACACCTATTGTTTTCTAACTTTTAGTCGATAAACAAAAAATGGTCTTCCACCGCGTTCCAAACCAACGTACCTGTCGTGATACAAACAGCTTCGATGTATTGACCAACTGGGTACTTAGTCCCTTTTAGGAACTGTGGATGTGCAATGTTAGTGCAGTGAAATCATACTGTTTTCGTAGAGTCACTTGAATCTACAGTACCTTTCCCATCATCATTACGGGTATTATTTTGGAGCTTTTGAAAACGGTTTGCAAAGGAAAGGAGACATACTTCAAAGAAGCATACTGACTCCAACTACTCATCGTGTTGCTCAGAGCACAAGGGGTAAATGCCCACAAGGGGGCAGTATTGTTGGCAAAAACTGCTCCATGTTTGATTCGCACTGCGCATATCGCTACGATTACAGCGAGGAAACGATTGCTGAAGACACAGAACGCTGCAGAGGGAAAGTGCCCACTCGGAACGTTCTGTGTTGGATTGAACTTTGTTGTCATGATAAGCTCCTGCATGTAACCCCAGGTGAGATAGGACCTGAAAAAAGGCAACAGCGTTAGCTCGGTCATAATGGAGTGGGCGACGGAGCGTCTCGGCAGTACTGACAACATAGGTTAAACATGGTGCACACATAAACTTACGCTTGCAAGCCAATGAAGCACAACGAGAATTTGAAAGCCTGCGCGAAAAATTCTGGGTTGTCAGAGACTACACGAGAAAAAAAGCCCCCCCCTCTGTCACCGTTTGCCTGAACTTCTCGCGGCGAATATAGTTGTTTAACCGTTGTCAACTCTTCATCGATAACCTTCCTGGAAGACCGAGCTTAGAATGGATCATCGGATCTCTGATCTAACATGCACAGATTTATCCACTTACTTGACACCATCATTAGGTGTGCCTGGGCATTCTATGTCAGCTTGGTCTGACACTTTTCGTTGCCGAACCATGATTCCAGTTGGTTTGTCGGAGGTGAGTTAGTCCAGATTGACTTTTCTTTTGAAAACAAAAAGTCATAGCAGAGCAAACCTTTTTCTCCATTTTTCCAATTATCCATGGAAGGGAAATCAATCACAAAGGAGTACACGTGTACCGGTACTGTACACGGTGTACTGTAGTGTTCTGTTTATGAATATCATATCAACCATTCCACGCGTCGAAAATCAAAGATTAACAGCCACATCACACGACAGGAGGCAAAGCCGAAAGACGATGTTCGATAGGACCAGAAATTCACTGCTCACATTGTGTCTACTATTAATCCTCCGAAATGCTTCCGCCCAACGTTTTCTCCGAGAGGGCTTCAGCAGCAAGATGGAGTCTGATTTCAAGGCCGAAACGAAATTGGAGGGAGCCTCTGGTTTGACAAGGGAAATGACCCTCATGTAAGTGACACCATTCGGTTTTCTACGAGTCGTTTCGTTTTGATTACTAATATCGGCGATACCGGTAGGAAAGATACAGACTGGGAGTTGCAGCCGGCTACCTTTGAGAATATCCGTGATGCGCGATTTCGGCGACATTTGGAATCATTCCTTCAGACACCTGTGACGTTAAAGCTGTCAACTCGCAAAGGAAAATACGGATTGCGAGCGGTTGGACACTTGGCATCTGGGAAGCGGCTTCGAGCTTTCTGGAGACAATCGACGAATTCTAAGAAGCTAACCCCCGACGGCTTCCTTTCAGCGACTTATGATGATGCAATCAGATGCCGGCTATCTGTCATGGAATTCGAAATCCAGCTCCCCCCTCATGACAAGAAATCGAAAGCATTGCCTTCCGTGATTTTCAGTGTCCCTGTGGAACCTGGAAGCATGAATTCCAAAGCAATCATTCCTCGTGGGGCGGTGAATGTACGGGTTCTTCCAAAAGGACGCATAAGCGATGATTTAGGCCCACAAGACGTGGAGCTCGGAAAAGGGCACGTTCACCTTCCAATGCGAGCTGGGCTAGTAGATGCTGCCTGGGCTAAAGGGAGATCAGTTTTCCGAAAAGGACGCATCAATGGAGTAATCTAGGTAATTTACTTTGAGCACAATGTACAATTTAATATCTAGACAACTGGAGACCGCGAAAAATGAACATTCGTCCACCCTGAAGAAGCATCGTATGACCAGATTCGAGTCTCCTTGAACGAAATGGAATCCGACTCCATTGTGTAAGACACGGATACCTTTGTACCCGTGATGAATTCAAAATATGAATGCTTCACAATAGCATTCGCAAAATCAACGCCTCCCTCGTGAACATCCATCACCTGTTCGACGGATTGGTCTTCAAACATTTCCGTCGCACTCAGTTCATGGTACGTTTCCCTATCTTTTTCTGCGATGGCCTTAATCAGACGGATGTTTGCATCGAGCACATCATTGACTACCACTTCATTCATCGCCTTCCGTGTGTCCTTCCAAACTGCCTCTAGCGCTTGATCGCCGGAAATGTCCCAAACTTTCATCACTGTATCGCCTTGCAATTGCCGCAATGTATCAATGATCGGCATTGTATCCTGTTCAAACGTTCTGAATCGTTTCCTCAAACTCTCCAGATTATCGTCTGACCGACCAGAATCCTTTGCCCGTTGAAGAATACGCTTTTCTAGAACCGACAGTGGGCATTGATACACTATCACTCCCAACACATCGGCGACTTCGTGCATGCAGTTTGTCCAGCCTTGAAGATTATCTAGGTTTCGAGGAAAACCGTCAATGAGGAAAACTGTCGAGTTCCCTTTCGCTTCTTCCATCGCCTTTCTTACCAACGCGAGGGAGATTTCTACCGGAACGATCTTTCCGCGTACAAGACATTCTTGAATCAAAGAAGCGTGTGGAGAATCTTCTTTGCTCGTCTCGTCCCGAAGAAGTTGTCCAACAGAAAGGTGCGTGCATGGATACTCTGCCAACATTAGATCACTTTGTGTCCCTTCAGGGTCAGTGAGAAAATTGTAAAGTCAACTAGTCACAACCGGAACTGCCATTAGACTGGACTTGCCTTTTCCTGCACCAGGACCTCCCAGAACAAAGATAACACGGAACCCTTTTGTCTCCGACACAGCCAAACCTCCAAAGTCTCTTGAAGAAGAACCGGCGGCAATCAACCGAAAGTCGCTTTTGATTGGCGAAGCTTCAAGAGAAATGGCCGATTCTGATTGCGGGCGCCATTCAGAGGAACCTCCTCGAGAAATTCGATTTGTTTGTTGACATCTCCGTCTTTGTAAAGCAAAAGGAGACGGCAAGAAGTAATTCCTAGAAGCAGAAGTAACTGGGACAAATGCTGCACTAAAACGACCAAGAGTTGCGAACAAGACGGAAATGGATAGCCTCATTTTTTGTATTATGGACAATTGCTATTATGGGGCTGTACAGTAGAAAAAACAATAAACCCGACAACGATGACGGTATCGAGATGGTGGATCGACTGATTGTTGGTACGCACGTCGTCCGTCCACATTTTTTGGAAGTCAGGACGTCCCCACAAAACACAAGGCTTCGAAAATCATCTGATACTGCAATGACTTCTATTGCACCCACTCGTCATTAGAGTTTCGGGATGAATACGGTTGAAGCATCGCTCTTTGTATCTAACGATTGAAATTGCACTTCAACAGCACCAGGCGTGAGTAGCAGGGTACCCGGTACGAACTCCTGTTAAATGACTAAAGATTACAGAGGTAAAAAAATTTGGACAGTCAAAAGACGGTTATACTTCGGCGCGAGCTCGCCCTTCACACGGCTCAATCGGGGGAAGTCCCGGTTCTGGAACTGTTTCTTAGTAGGATTTTCACGGCAATGGAATTAAGGTGGATCGTAAGTCGTTCGCGTTCGAGAAACCACCGAGTGGCGCAACCATTTTGTATGTTAAAGACATCACATAGGACACATTACATATAAGCAGCAAAGTTGCGCGCGCGAGTTGGTATGTCGCCCAATCTTTTGAATCGACGCTTTCACGAATTGATTTATGTCTTGATGTTCGATGTTCGGAAGGAAGGAAGAGTCCGGCAAAAGCTGTCACTTCCAAACACTTCCAAACGAGTTCTTGAGCAATCACACCGCCCTGCTCACTTCTTGTCACTAATATGACAGTATCACCTGCTGTAACATCTCCTCTTCGTAGCCGCGAAGGCTCTGTTGGGGACTCCAACTTTTCTTGGCATCAAGGAACAGACTTCGATCCGAGATTGTCTCCGTATGCTCGTGCCCCGCACTCTCCGCATCAAACCACTGCACATTCACCGTACTATTCAAGAGGACATTACGATTACTGGTCTCAGGAGGCCCCAGGAGGCTCCTACTGGGGACCTCCTCCTCCCTACGATGGAAGCGGGAATGGATATGTTGAACGTTCGATGCCACCACCACGATATGCTCGTGTGAGGCACCCAAGGCAACCCTACGATGATCATCAAGGCGGCACTCTACGTCGGGTTCCATCTTCACCCCGGGCCGCTTATCCACGAGGACCAGCACAACCCAGCAGTACAGAGATGCGAGAGATGCGACAACCTAGCACACCGCGGAGCAACAATTCCACGAATGGAGAGAAAAAAAAGGGAGATGGGCTGAGTATTTTGGCAAATGTTTCAGCTGATATGGGGGGAAAGGATGGAAAGAATGCGTCCCAGCAGCAGCGTCAAGTCCCTATGCCAGCACCTACATCTCCTCTTCAGCGGAGGTCGAGACCAAGTCCGATAACACCTAGTCAGACTCCACAGGATCGCCATCGTCCTCCGCAACATCCGGTGACTCCAGTTGCTGGAAGCAGACTCCAAGAGCACATTTATCCATGTAACCAGCCGCCAGATGTAGCATATCCTGACTATCGCTCAAATGCATACGGTGGGGCAAAGCGCAGGGGATATCCACCACACTATAACGACGTCGCAGCTCCGGGATACCATGAGATGGGGGCACCGATTGTAGTCGAACAAGGGGGAAGTTTCGACAGTCAAGGTGACACGGCGCATTATAGAGAGTATCAGTACCCTCCACCACCGCTTCCTTTGTACTACGATGAACATCAACTTCCGTTTCGTGGATATTGGGATATTGGACATCATGGCCATCAGCCTTTCATCCCTCCAAAATGGAACCATGGGTCCTCGCCAGAAGCTTATCATCCACCATATGGCTACGAAGGATACGACGAAGGTTACCCTCATCACCGCCCTCCCCACGCTTCGCAACACCATGCATCTCCATACACTTACGTACAACAGCCACGCCTTGAGGAGAAAACGATTCTCCGAAAAAAGTTCTCTTGGAAGCATTATCCAGAGGTAGGTAACAGAGTCAGCAAATTACATCAATCTTCGATCCACTTTGGCCGATGACTCACCGTTTGGAAGCTTGAACGTTTCTTGATTGCAAATCGCGACGAGTACTTAAAACACTCCAACATGAACTATACAGCGGAGCAGAAGCAGTATAACAACTGGTTGACCGAGCGGCTCCTTGAAGTCGCAGAGCAGCATCACTATGTCTTTGATCCGGAGGATTTCAACTTTGTGGCCATTCGCGATCGTATTAGATGCTACTACAAAAGCTACGTGCAAACTGCACGCAAGAGAGGGCTTAAGCTCCCAGAAAAAAAGAAGGATTGAGCAAGTGAGTCTTGGTTGGCTTCGCTTGTTGCCTATTGCGATGGTCGTCGGTTCTTGGGGTACATCATACATTGAAGGCTGTTGTAGCCTTTAAAATAAATAAAACATGTTATACATATAGGACTATTATATAGGACTATTACATTATACATGGGATTTCTCTTATTAAAAAACCGAAATGCAGGTGGAAAATTATTTGGTCAACAATAATATTGACCAGATGTTGGCACAACTCATACAATTAGGCTGAAGCTAACACCAACTGATAAAATTTTCAAACAGGGCGGTTACCGGTGGTACGTTTATGATGTGGATGTCGGTTTTTTTTTCTTTCACAACTCATTTTCTGGCATTTTCCACAGCTATGATCATTCTCCAGCTAATCGAATCACCGTAGAGTCCCAAAGCATCCTTGATTTTGTGAAGCAAAGGCAAAGAAAGGAATCGGACGAATACAGCGTATTCGATAACGAGTCTGCACAGGTTAGAGTACCCAGAATTCCGCTGGTGCCAGTACTACCAAACGAAAGAAGTCATTTACAACAAAGGAAGCAAGTACCTCGTTCATCTGTGGATTGGTCCCTTCAAATCCAAAACCATGCGGAACTCATCAAAATGAAGCAGGGACCATTTGCTGTGGACGATATCCCCACTTCGTCTCAATTCTCTCGACTCACTCTCTTCCATGAAGATATGCAACCAACAATCAATTCAATCCCAACCACGAAGAAATATTTGAATTCGGGCCTGCGTTCATGTTCGATGCCACTGACGACGGCCAGATTTTCAGTTTCTGCCGAGCGAGTGCGGAAGTCGAAGATGACCCGCACAGAAAACCCCCTGCCAGAATTTTGTTTTGTGTATTCCAGAGTATCCCCAAAACCTGATTCCATCTTCAATTTGTGTATTCATAACAACAATCCCAATCTCGATTGGAGACGAGTCAGTGATATTGTCTCAGCTAACTCCAAGAAGAACGCCATGGCAGCTTCGCACCAAGAACAGGTTGTCTCGAGATTTGCTAGTCTTTTGGGGACAAAACGCAATAAAGAGGTTTTGTCGTCGACTCTACGAGCCGCTGACACGGGAGAAGCAGCATTACGAGACCTCGTGCTTTGTTTTTCCAAGACAGTGGAAAACCATCATGTGGTTTGCACGCTTCCTTCTCTTGATATGAGAAAAATCGAGGATGAAACGGGATCAAACTTCCTTCCAAATCTTGGAGAGCATCGAGCTTCATTAGCGAAGTTGGATGCTGCGAATCGGGATGCCGTCCCAGCGATGGAAGCCTCTGTTCTTGGTGTCAGCAACGCTGCAGATGCATCAGCCAAGGCTGCTCAGGTTGAACAGAAGGCTGCTCAAAGCTTAGGCTCACTGACCTCTTGGACGAAGTCATCTGTTGTTTACGCACCTGGAGCTGTTTCCAAGAACGTATCTGATTCATTCTCTTCTTTGGTCAATTCTCGTGTTCAAGCGTGGACCATTCTCCTTTTGAGGCATTCCCTTACTACTGGTGATTCCACTAGCCGCTCTCGACTATTAAATATGCTTTCCTCCAGCATTAAAGTCATTTCCGGCCAGACAACATTTAAGACACTAGCATTACCAAAGGCTGCAATGGGACACGCAAAGGACGCTGATGTAATTTTGCCATTGCTCTTCGAGGTGGAGCTGAAAGTTTCAATTCAATCAAAAGATGACACTGTTACTCTGAGAGCACCGGGAACAATTTCCGGTAAGTATTTCCATGGCTACTGCATCGATTCTATTTGATTACTTTCTCTCCGTCTCATATCCATCATCCTTCGACCAGCTAACTTTGACTACGATGAGAAAGGAGGTTTGACAACCGTCGATATCGCCTTGGACACAGGGGTTATGCTTGATTCCATGGTGCAGCAAGCGCGAATGGTTGTATTCAAAGCTGTTGCAAAGGCGACTTCTTCTGGGCAGCTGCCCTCACTCGATGGGGATATGGATCCATCGAGTGTCAACAAACTACCTGTAGGGAAGAGCGAAGTCACACCAACTCTTTCTGGGTTTAGCAGTGCACTAAATCTCTCTTCTCACAAGCCTCAAAATCCAAACGACAAGAATATTCCTCGTTCATTGTTGCAACAGAAGAGTCGCGCATCAGCGTTGAAGCTTAACAGTGTTTTACAAGGCAGTTCAGCGAGCACACAAGGAAGTGGGAATGCCACATTCAGCAAGGGAAAGCAGACAAAATCGGTACAATGGGATCATAATGCAGTGATGGCAAAAGCCAAACCCGCGACGAATCCTTCACCAAAGCGTCAGAGGCTGTCAAATACGGAGGCCAAACTTCGCAGTTTCAAATCTTTCGGAAGAGCGCATGCTGGCGACTTTGGTTCTGGTCCAAGGAACGCTACCTTCGGTGACTTTGGAAGGAAACCAATTTGGGGCCGCAATGGTAGAATGGCGAACGCTCCTACCCCAATGCAACCTAATTACGAGCACTCACAGGATTTGATGTCGACGACTCCGAAATCACGAAAGAATGCTACTTTTGATTTGCAGAGACCACCGATACACCTTTCATCCGATCTTAAATTGGGATCACTGCGCAAAAATAAGACACAGAACAGCAGCGCAGGTTCTAACGCTATTCCTCGAACAGCAACTGCCCATGAGAATTGGTTGGTGAAGAACACACTAGGAAACGCGTTATAAATTCGGTGTAACATCTCTTGTTGTTGACAACCCCTGTATCTATAAAATAGGCACATCACTTTTACTTCCAAATCTCAGTGTTGAGAATATCCATATCGTCAATCGACCCTTAAGACAACGTCGAATTCGTGGATTTGTTCAACAACCACCTATATTCTATTTCTAAGAGACGTGACTCTCGCCTGGTACGTCTTGCTGTGGTTGCTTCAGCGCTAAAGGAGGTGGCAGGAGCTGATCCTTCTCCTGCAAAAATTTTCTCAGTAGCAATTGAAACCTTGGATGGAACTCTTCATCGACATCACATAGATGAAAATGTTCTTTTGGACGCAATGTCCACTCAGAGAGCTTTATTGGATATTATCGGTCTAGCCGTGACTGGTATCGCACCTGGAACGCTTGCTGCTACTGTGTCACAATCTTCGAGGACTCTGCGCGGTTCAATTCAAGCGTGTATGTCGCTTGACACACAAAGTTCGCAATCCGTGCTCTTTGCAACTCGTGACGGCCTTGATGTAACCAGCTCTTTTCTTTATAGTGCTTGTAGAGCAATTTCGGGTTTGTTACGACGCCTTCCGAATACTGTAGACAACAAAACCGTCGCCGAGCTCTTTCGCTCTACCATCCTTATGCTCGTGTCAGATACAAGATCAAAGGTGAAAACAGTTGCTGTAAGGGAGTTATGTATTCTTCTCGCTATGGATTCCCCAAAGTGTCACGTTGTTGTCCATAAAGAAACGACCGCTTTTGTGAATAGGCAGATGAACACGTCATTGAAAGTTCTTGCTGACAGGAAATCCACTGAGGATTTCATCGAACTCCTCGACTTCCTTCGTCACGCTTTGATTTTCCTGGACTTCTCAGTTGTTGGGGGCCGAATAATGAAGTTGTTGGTTGCACTCTGCGAGGCTGCTTCAGTGAGTGATGATATTCACTCTGATTCTATCGCGACTGCGCACCTATCGAAACATACAGTGCCCACAATAAATGCGATACTGGCAACTGTGCTGGCTATGCTCGAGCATGATGCCGCAGCTGCGAAGAGAGAGAGGTTTTGTTCTTTTGCTTCGAGAGTTCTTGCAAGCTTGGCACAGCAGCAACCAACTCTAATATACCGTCATGGAGCAGCTGATAGTGAAGTACTTTCAAGCGGCAGAGCTATTTTTGGACAGGTAATGCTGTCCTCTTCCCAACATCTTCTTCACGGGAATGGGGAAGAAAGGAAGACAGCCATGATGCTGCTACCATTGTCAATTCGACACATCGTGAGTCTTTCCAAACCATTGGACACAGAAGACGACGACAGTGTTGCTTTCACCTTATTCCCAGAACTTTCCATCCTTTTTCGACAGCTTGAGGACAACAAACGAAGTGCTCCGCAGGTACACGAAAAGTGTGTTCGGGATTGCTTGGTTGCCATGGAAGTTGTTCTACAGCCTTCGTTTGAGATCATATGGGGTTTGTCTCTGAAGCCGCTGGTTCTCCTTCTATTGCAAATGGATTCTCACGGGGAACATGTTTGTCGTTGTATGAAGCGCTTAGTTGTGCTTGGAGCCGAGATGTCACAAGACGGGACTCACAGAATTGACGTTAATGGTGCTATTTCGTATCTGGTGCAAGGGTGCGGATTAGAGATTCTTTGGAAGCAAATTGGATTGTCTGAAGCTTGCCATGTCATCCATGAGGACGAAGAAAAGAACGGTGAGCCATTTCAATTGTTAGGGACGTCACAAAGTGAAACTACTAATAATCGCTGCTCTTCCTTCTCAGCTGTTGCGCAAAACGTACTTTGGCTTCTGCAGCTCATGAAATCTTCCGAAACGGGAAGAGGTGAAACAAATCTAAGCCTCTCTTTCTTTCAACAAACCGTTTTGCCATTGGCGCGGTTCTATGATTCTCAGACAGCCGAAGGTGCTGGAAAGTCGCTGAAACGGAAAAGAACGGTCGTTGCACTTTGGGCGCTGTTTCCTTCCTTCTGCCGATGTCCAACAGATCTTGAGTCTGTGTTCCCTGGCTTGGCACCTTTGTTGGTTCGGGCAATGAACGATGAGCGATATCCCGAACTTGTTGTAAGTGAGAAAGTGCCTATTGTGGACTGCTGATTTTTTGGCCGCTGATTTACACGTTTCTCTTGTTTTCATTTGAAGGCTATCATTTCATCAGGACTGAAGACACTTGCTACTGGAGTTCGCGAAAGGAAGTTGGGGAATGGAGAGCTTGTCGACGGCGAAGAGGTGTCCAGGCTCCGTCGCGAGGCAGATCTTTTGGAAGTGGTGTCCGAAAAGTTGATTCCATCTCTTTTCAAACTAGTCGAAAACATCCATGCGAAGGAGAAGGGAGATGTGGAACAAATGGAAGTTGAAGGCAGCGAGGAAAGATATGTTGACAAGTCACATAAAGTACGATCGTTGACTGACGCAATTGCATCACTATCGCAATTAGGCCCGCAACACTTGATTCAACGCCTATTCTCAAAGATTGTCCAGAGACTTCTCGAAGCGTCTCAGGCCGACGAAGATTTGTCAGAACAAATGTGCATGTTGCTTACGCTCGCTCAATCACTAGTAGTCTCTGAGAGTCTGGAGCACAGCAGCATTTCCTTGCTGTTTCGCTGTTTGAAGCCGTTGATTAGATCTGACGAGACAAAGCCAAGAGTCCAAAAGCGCGCTTACAAGGTCCTTGCAGAGATTTGTCAGCGCCGCGTCGACTTCGTGCGAAAGAGTGAGCAGCTGAATGACACCTACCAACTTCTCACATCATCACTACAGACATGGTAATACAAAGTAGTTTGCGATTCGTTTTGAATATTTTTGAGATCTCTTAACCACTTTGACATTTTCCAATTTTTGTATTTTGAGACAAAAGCAAATATCTTTTGTGAAAAATGCGTAACGGTACAATAGATTTCAAATTAAAATCTTTTTTAACATGCTTCCTTTACCGAAATTATTGGATTCCATGGCCCCATCGTTATTGCAAGGCGTAAGAAATTATGGTTTACCGCTTCTGACGCTTTCTGCCTCTCTCGACAACGTCGCTCATCTGTTTCACTGCTTGTTCACGATTTTTCTTGCTGAAATTTCGTCCATCCAAAGGAACATATGCGTATGGACTGTACTTCTGACCCTTCTTCTTGACATCACCTCCGGCACCTCGTGCTTTGTACTGTGCTCCAAGTTTCTGCTGATACTTTCGTTGTCCACCCTTCTTTCGGTTTGCCTCACTTTCCGTCTTCGAGAACTTGGCCACAGTAGAATCAGCATTGGTCATGGACTGATCAGCAAATTTATCTTCCGAGATCACAAGCCTGCCAGAGCTGTCGAATTGAATCAAAGATTCCGAGTCGCTTTCATCTGAAAAAGAAGCTCCATATGTTTTGCGGGTCAACTTGCCAACCTCCAAGTTCAGACCTTCTGTATCATTCTTGATCAGAACTGCTTTGTTGCGGGTTGCGGAAGCTGAGGTGTGGGCAGAGCTTCGCTGGTTCCTACTGTCGGCTCGGCTTCGCTTGGTCATCTTCGTCGCCATCGTAAAAAGAGTCCGACCATCATCGGAATCTTCTTCATCAGAATCAACCATTTCATTATATTCCAAGGTCTCAGGCCGCTCTAAACTGCGTGCAAGTCTGCGCCGCTTCTCCCGTTCAGAAAGTTTTCTCATATGAGTTAACAACCGACTGTCGCTCTTTGGTACAACAGGCATCAACGTCTCATAGTCAAACATTCGTACAAGCTTCTTGATGATGATCTTGATTTTTGATCGAAACCTATCCTTTCCGCGATGGTAACCAAGAAGGCTTTGAAGTATGTCTGGAAGTAGCGGAAAAATCTGTTCTTTTGGAATCACAACTACTGCCACTCGCACAAAACAAACAAAACCTTTTGTGACCTCTCTTGAGGGATCATCAGACAGAACAAGAACGGTTTTCAGTAACGTTGGAAGCAAAGACAACAAGTTTTCGTCCTTTGAATACTCAAATATTATCCTTGACAAAGCAATCACCGCTGCAGATCTCATGTGAGACGTTGCAGAACCCGCTGCAGCTATGATCGAAGTGACAACAAGGACGATGTCCTCTTGTACTTCAGTTATTGACAATAAAAGCTTCAATGCTGCATCTCTTGTTTTTGCATTCGAATCTTTAAGGGAAAGCAACGTTTCGCCAATGAGCGCAAGGATCTGCTTCTGTTTGGAAATAATAAGGGAATTGAGAATCATCAAAAGCGCACGAGCAAAACAGATACCGAAGTCTGACCTACCTTCTCTGTTTCGTTTGGATTGTCAAGAGAATCCACAACCAGAGTTAAACACTTGATTCGCATTAACCGGGAAGAGACTTGCGATGTCTGTAGTGATGATGTGAGAAGTTGGAAGGTGTCATTCAGCTGCTCACTCTTTCGCACGAAGTCGACGCGGCGCTGACAAATCTCTGCAAGGACCTTGTAAGCGCGCTTTTGGACTCTTGGCTTTGTCTCGTCAGATCTAATCAACGGCTTCAAACAGCGAAACAGCAAGGAAATGCTGCTGTGCTCCAGACTCTCAGAGACTACTAGTGATTGAGCGAGCGTAAGCAACATGCACATTTGTTCTGACAAATCTTCGTCGGCCTGAGACGCTTCGAGAAGTCTCTGGACAATCTTTGAGAATAGGCGTTGAATCAAGTGTTGCGGGCCTAATTGCGATAGTGATGCAATTGCGTCAGTCAACGATCGTACTTTATGTGACTTGTCAACATATCTTTCCTCGCTGCCTTCAACTTCCATTTGTTCCACATCTCCCTTCTCCTTCGCATGGATGTTTTCGACTAGTTTGAAAAGAGATGGAATCAACTTTTCGGACACCACTTCCAAAAGATCTGCCTCGCGACGGAGCCTGGACACCTCTTCGCCGTCGACAAGCTCTCCATTCCCCAACTTCCTTTCGCGAACTCCAGTAGCAAGTGTCTTCAGTCCTGATGAAATGATAGCCTTCAAATGAAAACAAGAGAAACGTGTAAATCAGCGGCCAAAAAATCAGCAGTCCACAATAGGCACTTTCTCACTTACAACAAGTTCGGGATATCGCTCATCGTTCATTGCCCGAACCAACAAAGGTGCCAAGCCAGGGAACACAGACTCAAGATCTGTTGGACATCGGCAGAAGGAAGGAAACAGCGCCCAAAGTGCAACGACCGTTCTTTTCCGTTTCAGCGACTTTCCAGCACCTTCGGCTGTCTGAGAATCATAGAACCGCGCCAATGGCAAAACGGTTTGTTGAAAGAAAGAGAGGCTTAGATTTGTTTCACCTCTTCCCGTTTCGGAAGATTTCATGAGCTGCAGAAGCCAAAGTACGTTTTGCGCAACAGCTGAGAAGGAAGAGCAGCGATTATTAGTAGTTTCACTTTGTGACGTCCCTAACAATTGAAATGGCTCACCGTTCTTTTCTTCGTCCTCATGGATGACATGGCAAGCTTCAGACAATCCAATTTGCTTCCAAAGAATCTCTAATCCGCACCCTTGCACCAGATACGAAATAGCACCATTAACGTCAATTCTGTGAGTCCCGTCTTGTGACATCTCGGCTCCAAGCACAACTAAGCGCTTCATACAACGACAAACATGTTCCCCGTGAGAATCCATTTGCAATAGAAGGAGAACCAGCGGCTTCAGAGACAAACCCCATATGATCTCAAACGAAGGCTGTAGAACAACTTCCATGGCAACCAAGCAATCCCGAACACACTTTTCGTGTACCTGCGGAGCACTTCGTTTGTTGTCCTCAAGCTGTCGAAAAAGGATGGAAAGTTCTGGGAATAAGGTGAAAGCAACACTGTCGTCGTCTTCTGTGTCCAATGGTTTGGAAAGACTCACGATGTGTCGAATTGACAATGGTAGCAGCATCATGGCTGTCTTCCTTTCTTCCCCATTCCCGTGAAGAAGATGTTGGGAAGAGGACAGCATTACCTGTCCAAAAATAGCTCTGCCGCTTGAAAGTACTTCACTATCAGCTGCTCCATGACGGTATATTAGAGTTGGTTGCTGCTGTGCCAAGCTTGCAAGAACTCTCGAAGCAAAAGAACAAAACCTCTCTCTCTTCGCAGCTGCGGCATCATGCTCGAGCATAGCCAGCACAGTTGCCAGTATCGCATTTATTGTGGGCACTGTATGTTTCGATAGGTGCGCAGTCGCGATAGAATCAGAGTGAATATCATCACTCACTGAAGCAGCCTCGCAGAGTGCAACCAACAACTTCATTATTCGGCCCCCAACAACTGAGAAGTCCAGGAAAATCAAAGCGTGACGAAGGAAGTCGAGGAGTTCGATGAAATCCTCAGTGGATTTCCTGTCAGCAAGAACTTTCAATGACGTGTTCATCTGCCTATTCACAAAAGCGGTCGTTTCTTTATGGACAACAACGTGACACTTTGGGGAATCCATAGCGAGAAGAATACATAACTCCCTTACAGCAACTGTTTTCACCTTTGATCTTGTATCTGACACGAGCATAAGGATGGTAGAGCGAAAGAGCTCGGCGACGGTTTTGTTGTCTACAGTATTCGGAAGGCGTCGTAACAAACCCGAAATTGCTCTACAAGCACTATAAAGAAAAGAGCTGGTTACATCAAGGCCGTCACGAGTTGTAAAGAGCACGGATTGCGAACTTTGTGTGTCAAGCGACATACACGCTTGAATTGAACCGCGCAGAGTCCTCGAAGACTGTGACACAGTAGCAGCAAGCGTTCCAGGTGCGATACCAGTCACGGCTAGACCGATAATATCCAATAAAGCTCTCTGAGTGGACATTGCGTCCAAAAGAACATTTTCATCTATGTGATGTTGATGAAGAGTTCCATCCAAGGTTTCAATTGCTACTGAGAAAATTTTGGCAGGAGAAGGATCAGCTCCTGCCACCTCCTTTAGCGCTGAAGCAACCACAGCAAGACGTACCAGGCGAGGGTCACGTCTCTTAGAAATAGAATCTAGGTTGTTGAACAAATCCACGAACTCGAGGTCGTCGTCCAACATGCTATTTGTTTATTTTTTGAAAGATGAATTCTGTCGAGGGCAACTTTTTTGGTGGTCAAACTGTTTCCCACACGATTGCGCGAAACGCGCATTAACCAAGATGGCGTGAGTCAGTCACAGTACATTTCTTGTGACGCTTCTTTCATTTCTTACTTTCGCTTCCCTCCTATCCCTTCTATCCATTCTCCGAATAGGTTTGACAGACAAGATCAATTCCCTGGAGAAGCTCATGGAACGTTGGATGATAAATGGTGCAAGATAGTTCCAGAGCAATTGCAAGACAAATGCTACATGTACCCGCACGCTTGCACAGATCCATGTTGGAACTCCTCGCAATGGACGGAAGTTGAAGATCGCTTGCGGGGAAGTTCATGAGTTATTTGGTAAATGGTTGCAGAAATTGGAACATGATTGCAGAGATGGTTTCAGGCTGCTCGCTGCAACAGTTTTAGAATTGCTGGGCAAATCTCGCTTATGAAAGTTAGAGGGAAGGGGATTAAACACAAGATGCAGATCGAAGGTGGACAATGGGGAGGATCAATTGATGCGGGAAGCTTGTGCGGCGCTTGGGTCCTCTGATAGGAGATTTTCGTTTTCTCTCGTTCCTATTCAGACCCCCCTTGTCTGAGTATGCGCTGGTATAAGGCCCGTTTTTTGAAGCGAGACAAATGCACTTGATGGTCGGAATGAAACGGAGTGACTGACTCGCAGCATCCATGCTGAAGAGCCGTATACTGAGGACAAGATGAATGCATTTCGTAAGAAATGTTGGCTTGATGTTTTGGTAGAGATGCGATGAAGGAAGATGGAATTGGCAACGTTGGCTCTCGTATGGCTTATCGGTATAGCAGAGTCAAAGGTTTGATAGAAGAACTGTGGTATCCTTCTTCAGCAAGCGTAGTAAAAAGTAAAAACACCAATCTTATAGGTCCCTGCAGTGCCAGTACGACTGTACTCTGTTTTTTGGTATCTGTTGTCGGGTTACATATTCAAGGAAGTCGACCCATCCGAGTTAGACATATCTTCCAATCTCCTCCACAAACCATCCATCACCAAAACTTGTGATGCACGTATCCTTCTCAGGAATCTCTTGTCACCTTTCGAAACAGTCATTCGACTTGATATCGTTCCATAGTTGCACCCATTTCACCAGTGAATCCACCCATGCACCTCTACCGAAGATCATCAAGAGTCCAATCTGCCGTTCACTGTTTGACATCAAACAGATCAGCAAACATTAGGTCCCCTCCCAGTGCCCTGGGATATCAGTATCAACAGCAAAGCCGCAACTTTGGCAAAGAAATGAAAGATGAATATGGGAGTATGACTTCTGAGGGTGAAACATTTGAAGCGAAAGATTTCGTCTTGGAAAGTGGTGCATCATTGCCTCAAGCGCAGCTTCGATATCAAACGTATGGCAACCTCAACCAAAGGAAGGACAATGTAATCGTTGTTTGTCACGCATTGACAGGAAATGCAAGTCTTCATGCGTGGTGGGGTGAGCTACTGGGAAAGAAAAAGGCTTTTGATACTGAAAAATATATGATTGTATGCTGTAACATCCTTGGAAGTTGTTACGGGTCGACCAATCCACAATCCATCGACCCAACAACGGGATCCACTTACGGCAAAAAGTTTCCTGATATTTCAGTCAAAGATACAGTGAAATTTCAGTTAAAACTTCTGAAGGAGGAGCTTCAAATTTCTTCGATCAAGGCCGTAGTCGGAGGGTCTTTTGGTGGTATGCAAGCAATGGAATATGCAATCCAGGCTGGTTCACAAGTTGGAGATTATTTCTCCGAAGACGGTAAGAATAATATCATGCACACTTGGACTCTGCTCGTGACTGCAAATCTTCTAACACCAGCGATGGAAACGGCCCCCAGGATCACCGTATATCAGATCTGTTGTTCCAATAGCGTGTGGAGCGTATCACACAGCTTGGCAAATAGCGATATCAGAAGTTCAGCGGCAAGCGATATATGCAGATCCAATGTGGAAGGAAGATCCATTTCAAGCAACCACTGGACTTGAGATTGCGAGGCAATTAGGTATGATCAGCTATAGAACACCGCAAGGATATCAAAAAAAGTTTGGGAGGAAGCTACGGTCAGATAATACACCGCTCTATGGATCCCAGGCACTGTGGCAAGTCAAGTCATATCTAGAGTATCAGGGATTGAAGTTTATCGATCGATTCGATCCGGTGACTTATGTCAAGCTGACAGAGCAAATGGATTCGCACAACATTGCGAGAAATCGCGCAGCGACGGTGGAAGAGGCATTGAACATGATCGAGATACCAATGTGTGTCCTAGGGATTGACAGTGATGTACTCTACCCCCTTTCGGATCAAGAAGAAATTGCTGCGAGCGTCCCTAAATCAGAACTCAAGATTATCAATTCTAACGATGGCCATGACGGATTTCTACTTGAGCAAGACCAAGTAGCGCGGCACATCGTAAACTTTTTGACTGCCATAAAATAGATGGGGTCTTGCGATTATTCTTTGGTTTCTCTCTAGAGGTCATCGTATCCGAGAATTTGAATTTCTTCACATTCATGGAATACTAAGTTTCTTCCTTCATTGCACTCTTGATTTCTTTCGTCGCGACATCCAACAGGAGGTATTGAAGCGGCACGCCACAAAGAACATCGCTTTCGTTTTGTTCTCTCTCGCAGCAATTGTTTCCTCTTCGTAACCCTTACATTCTCTACAACCAACCTCCAGTTTTGACCTATCCGATTGTAATGATCCAAACGACCATACAATAGAGCTCGTGGGGCGCTCCTGGGCGACCTTTCTCCTTTGGCATAATCGGAATGTTCACTCGACGTTTCTGTTGTCAGTCGTTGAGATAGTCGTCGAGATTCTCTTATCTGTAACCGAGCCATGGGCCCGCCAAATGCTTTACTGATAAGGTGAATTGCATCGGAGTCAAGCGCTGCCTGCTCTTCGGAAAAACCCTCCTCGTCTACATTAGCTGCTGTATCTTTCTCTCGACTGTTCTTTTGTTTTGGATCTTTGGTGGAGTTTGACATCTTCATGGAAAGCAGGACGCTTTCCAGACATCTCCCGAGAGGGGTACTTGATTTTGATATCGAGGCAACAAAGTGATAGTGTGATTGAGATGCTGCACCCTGTGCAAGGCTCGTTCTTGGTTCGTCTTCGACGAACATCAAAGTTGTACTGTATTTAGTTTTTTTTTGTTCGACCAGGTTTAAAAATATGTATTGGTGGTACCTATCGTACCTGGTACCAGGGGTACGGTACCTGGTACTATCCGAGTCTTTTAAAAAAATGCTTTCCTTTCATCAGTCGAGTACCTACAGTACTGGTACCAGGTACGGTACGGACGAAGCCAGCACAAGTGTGAGTGACCTTGGAACTAGATTAGACCCTTTGGAGGTACATACATAGCTTTAGGCCTAACTCTCATGTCACTCCTTTGTTGGTTCAAGATCAATCCCTTGAAGTGCGAGTGGTGTGTCCAAGAATGATTTCTTGGGCCATTGGTTGACTCCTGAAGGTGTCAAGCCATGGAAGAAAAAGATTGATGCCATCCTCAAGATGTCAGCGCCTACCAATGTAACAGAATTGCGTGCATTTCTTGGTGCTGTTACCTTTTACCGCCACATGTGGCCGTGTCGATCTCATCTTCTCAAACCCCTCACAGGCAAAGGAATGTTTGAATGGACTGATGAGTGCGCCAAAGCTTCCGCTGAAATGAAAGCTGTCATGGCTAGCGATATAATGATGCGCTACCCCAATCCAAACAAACCCTTTGAAATCTATGCTGATGCGTCGGACTACCAAATGGGCGCTGTGATCATGCAAGAAGGTAAACCAGTCGCCTACTGGAGTCGTAAGCTCAATGCTGCACAACGCAGTTACTCTGTGATGGAAGAAGAAATGTTGGCTGTTGTACATTTTTGGTCTATGATATATGGTGCCAAATTAACTATTTTACTGATCATAAAAATCTCACAATGTGAACGTTGAACACACAACGAGTTCTTTGTTGGCGTATGTTTGTTGAAGAATTTGGCCCCGATTTTGTCTATTTGCCTGGAAAAGATAACGCGATTGCCGACTGCTTCTCTCGGCTTCTGCGAATGGAGAAGCCGTCTGAAGGGAAGAGTCCAAATAAGGGTAAATTGATTGCGTTTGACAAATTACAGGTTTCTGTTGATCCCGAAGACAAAATCTACACATTTGAAGATAATGTTCTGGTAAATAAAAATGATTTGATTACGCCACCAACAGAAGCCGAGTTCAACAGTACCTTTCGATGTCAATTCTCCTGTTGCCGAGATGGAGATATTCATGAACATCTGACCATTGACGACATTGAAACAGAAGAGTCCTTTTTGAATCATCCTCCTCTACAAACGATGCCGAACCCAATCACAATGCCAAACATTCAACAACATCAAACTCAAGATCAACTGCTCATGCAACAAGCTCAACGCGATGCACAGCACTACCAGATCAAGACAATTGACGAGCGACTCATCATCACCTATCAAATCAATCCTGCACGTCAAGACGATTGGAGAATTTACTTGCCTTTGAGTTTGGTTGATGATGTAATCACCTGGTATCACCTTGTGCTTGGACACAGAGGAAAAACGTCAATGTATGCTACAATTGCAAAGCGATTCTATTCTCCTGGATTGAAGCAACAAATTGAACGATTCAACTGTGAGATTTGCCAACTCAATAAAGCGGCAAATGTTCAATATGGACAGCTACCTGAGCGACACGCGGATTTGGTTCCATGGTTCTCAGTTGCTGTTGATTTGATTGGTCCATGGAAAATTGACGTCAATGGTAGAGAACTTGAATTCAATGCGTTGACTTGTATTGATCCCGTGACAAATCTCACTGATCTTGCTTTTATCAAGAATAAAACTGCAGCACACGTGGCAAACGTGTTCAAAATGCTGTGGTTGTCGCTGTTGGAATTGCTCTCTTGGAGACCATTCATTGGAATCTCCTTGATAGAAGCAGTTTGACACGTCCGATCGGACAGACGGACAAATATCCGTTTGGTCCGTTTATTTGGGGGATTCCTATGAGACGGTTTTGCAGGGTTTCCAAAACATGGAATTGTGCGCTTGGACTATCAAAGTGTCTGAGCGCCACGAAAATCCCATACTGAATCCTGTGGGAGTTCTGTACGTAGATAACAAGTCTTTTAGAATAGTTCTTTCCTGTAGAGATGATTATTTCATATTAGACGGATCGGAGATCGCTATGGTTAGTGCCTATGCATGACAACTTGATGGGTCGCATGTTGGCACGGCTGGTTGGCAATGATGGCTTCATGGGCCACAAAGTTGTCAATCGGTTTGGACGAAGACAAACAGTCTGATGTTTGCCAGAACCGATTTCCAACTGTCGCGATATCCAAGACCATACAAACGTATTCACGATCAAGGAGGCGAATTCATTGGCAAAGCCTTTCAAGCAAAACTTGCTACTTGGGGAATCCATGATGGCGGAACCACTAGCAAGAATGCGACTGCAAATGCCATCTGTGAACGAATGCAGTTGACAGTGGCAAACATTTTGCAAACCAGATACAACAATGCTGCTCCAAACTTTCAAGTCGCTGTTGAAGAAATTAAACGAGCTCTTGCTGCTTGCAATCATGCAATGAGATGTGCTGTATCGACAGCATTGATGAACAATACTCCTGGTGAGACTGTGTTTCATCGTGACATGCTACCTGTGATTGTCGATCTACTTTCTATGCAGCAAAAGAGACAGTACAAGATCGATGAAAACTTGAGGAGACAGAACGCGAAGCGAAAAGAATTTGATAACAGAATTGGTGGAGAAGTTTTGATCAAGAATACTGATGGAAGGAAGTTGGATCCAAAGCACAGAGGTCCGTATCCTATTACAAATGTTTACACTAATGGTACAGTGGAAATTTAGCTCACAGTGTTGGTGAAATGGGATCTTAATAGATAAAAGAACAGTCGAACATTTCGGACAGTGAAGTCGGACATTCGTGATATCGAACACGGACGGGAGTACGGTTCGAGTACTTACAGAGATGGATAAGTATTGAAGGTAGATCTAGATCTGTGACTAGTTCGTGAAGAACATGTGCGT